GGGGGACTTTGCCGTCTTGAAGGACACGGCGCTGCAGAAGTTCGCCATCAAGTCGGCCTCCAGCCTGCGGCGCTACGAAGCCGGGGCTTTCTCCTGGCTGAACACCACGGAGCTGTGGTGCGACATCGCCTTGGACGAGAACGCGTCGGCTCTGCCGGTGATGCTGCGGGACCTGCGGGACAAACCCCTCCACTACCTGCGTTTCCGTAACCTCTTCGAGTTCACCTACTACACCGGCGGCGGCAGACCCCTCAACGGCTTGGCTGACCAAGTTGGTCTTCTTCCGGGGGAAGTTCAACGAGAACCTCCTCCGCTTTGCCCTGCTCAACATCCAACGCTCCCGCGTCCGCCACTTGGAGCTGGTGGCCATCGACTTTGCCCGCTCGCCGCAGTGGAACAGCTCCGGCGTGGGGGCGGCCGCCCCGCGGCTCGACCGCCTCTTGCTGCAGGACATCAGCAACCCCGACGTCCTGCGGTTCGACTGGACCTTCACCTGGTTGAGCGGCGTGACCAACCTCTCCATCGTCAACGTCAACTTCAACTATGTCCCCTGCGATGTTTGGGGTGAGTTGCGGAACGTGGAGGCCTTGGACATCTCCGGCAACCGTCTGGAAGACGGTTATATCTACAACCAACGCTGCCACTACCAGGACGTCATGCCCAAGCTGGAGAGCTTCGTCGTGGCCACCAACCAGCTCCTGAGCTTGGCCGTGGTGGCTGCCTTGACGCGGACCTGGCCCCGGCTCACCCACCTCGACGCCAGCCACAACGGTTTGGGCAGCCTGCAGGAGACGTGCCAGTGGGGTCCCACCTTGTGTTGGCTGGCCCTCCACCACAACCGGGTGACGGCAGGCACCTTCAGCTGCCTGCCCACCACCCTGGAGTACCTGGACCTCTCCTACTCCCAGCTCGACCGCTTGGACATGGACTACTTCACCCAAACTCCCCGGCTGCGAGAGCTGCGGTTGAGCGGCAACAAGATCAAGTTCATCCCCTCCGAGTGGAGATGTCCCCGTTTGGAGGTGCTGGCCATCGACGGCAACTCCTTCGGCGTCATCAACCGCGGCTCCTTCGTCAACATGCCGCGGCT